TTTTGAGGTGTCTAATATGCACAGTTGGTGCTATGCAAGAAGACGGTTGCACTGAATGAGCTGGTGTGTGCTGGCAAGGAAGATATGTTGGAGGTATTCCTGCAGTGTCTGAGACAAATGAAGGTCGTGCAGTGTGTAGCTGTCAGTGTTAGTGTTTGAGATGTTTACGGTAGGATAAGGATGCTGCAGCAAGTCTGTGTTTGGACTCACAGTATCCTTCCCTTACCATCGCACAATCTGTGCTCTCTACCCTTTGTTTAGAGGTACGTTAGCCCCTTCTTAGTACAGACATGTGGTTTACTTCTTAGTACAGACATGTGGTTTACTTCTTAGTACACTTTGGTTTCTTATACAGACATGTGGTTTACTTCTTAGTACAGACATGTGGTTTACTCAGACCCTGTGAAGTGGCTCTTGTCTTGTTGCAGTTGGCTGGTGTTGACTGCAGTTTTGCTCGTTCCAGTCTTTCAGCTCTGGACAAACTGACAACTTTCCAGCTCATCTGTGTTGAGGAGAGGTTCAGGTTGGGTTATACTGTGGACAGTATGACTTCCTGACCGCTCCTCGTCCTGCAGGGAGGACTGGCCTTCCTTCCACAAAGACACTTGCCTGCAGCTGGTGGCATATCTTCTCCATGTTGGCCGGCTAAGTCATGCTCGGCTATTCTGGACCAGGCACCAGGTTGGACACACCACTTATCTCTGTGTACAATTCTGAGGCCTGTACACAGCTAGCAGTTGAGGAAGAGCTTGGCCAGGCTGACTTGGACTCACTGCTGCAACTAATACCTTCTGATTTGTCATCGTTGCCTTCCTGGCTCTCTGAAACCATCTTCCCTTTCTTTTTAGCTCATTGTCCGCACCAAATGGTATGCAGTCACCTCTTGCTGTGGGTGCATTTACTAGTCACACACACACACACACACACACACATACACACACACCTGCAGACCCTGTTTCTGAGTCAGCTGACCACTGTCTTGTGTTGCCTGGAGCAGAATGATCCGGTCAGCCTATTCTATTCCTCTGTCCAAAGGTTCATTTTCAACTGGTGCACAGGACAACTGGCCAAGGAATGTACTGTCTGTGATAGAGCAACTGCTCCTCTCCGTTTCTCAGCTACATCCCAGTCATGGCTCTCCCCCTGACATCTCTCCACTCACTCAGCTGCAGAGGAAACTGCAAAAGTTAGCATCCATGCCTCCTATTATGCGGCGCAAGCTCTCCTTTGCAACATATGATCAGGTACGGTGCTCTGCGACAGCTCTCATTCCTAAGCAAGTTGGTACTAGCTCTGTCTGCAGTTCACTCCACCACAACTGGTGTATCGGGCCTTGGACCAGGCGGTGTACACCAACGACACAAGGCAGCTCATTGCTGGTCCTCTTGGTGAGTATGCCAGGGACCAGCAACTCTGTCTGGATACCATGTTGGCCGACTACCTGAAGGTCTGACCGCTGAACTGGTGTGCTGAGCTGAGGTTACTCTCTTCTCCCCATAGCTTTTCCTGGCCAGAGCTCCTGCGCAGTCTCCTGACTTCTCAGGCAGTCCCTGGGAGGCCAAAGCTGTAGCGGTGGTTGAAGGTGTTGCCAGCAGCGAGCTGCGGGTTTCCTGCTGCTTGCGTCTTCTCCACTGCGCCAGCAGCCCCTGGAGCAGTGCAGTCGCCTGCCTTGTGCAGAGCTGCCTACCCCTCACTGCCTCCTGTGCCCAGCAGCTGCAGAGTCTCTACAACTTGCTGCAGGTGCAAGAGATCCTTCAGGAGAAGTACGGCATTGCTGACTTCAACTTCTCTGACAGAACCACAGGAGATGTGAGTGACCAAACCATTGTGTGTAATAATTGTACTGTGCTGATGACAATGTTAGGTGTACATCAGACACATTCTGGTGCAGCAGAAATCTGATGCGTTGGCGGATGCTCTCTGGGTAGGGCACACAAGACCAGTCCAGTCACAGTATGTGTATCCCTTGACACAGGTGGCCACGAAATATGGCATAGCACACTCCAGGGTGTATGTTCGGCATCTCTTCCAACTCTGCTGTCAAACCCGGGCAAGAACAGCCTTTATCATGTCACACTCACAGTCTCCTAGCTGTACAGGTGGAGGAGGCAAGAGACATGCTGGGTTCTCTCTCTCCTAAGATTCTGTCCAGCACTGTACCAGCTGCCTTCTCTTTCTCTCTTTCTCGACTGAAGACGGCATTTGTCCCAGACAAGGTAGGTGCCGTGATTGTCCACTAACTGCCTCAGGTATAGCTGCATGCAGACTCGGCCTGCCTCTCACATTGGAGCAGCTAGACTGGCTCTACTCTGCACTCAACTCTCACTACCAGGTGAGCGCACCCACTGCTTCACCTGTCCTGTAGGTCAGTGGGTTTGACAGCTCACTGGAAAGGGCGCTGCAGTGCCCAACTCCTGCGACGTGTGCTGGAACTGGCAGAGGAGTTCAGTGTCTTCGTTAGCCCTAGCCAACTTACTTCTCCGCAGCACACCGCCCAACTGCTCCATCAGGCTTTTGCCAGCATCCCTTCTTCCTCATCAACTAACTGCCTTTCTTGCAAGTATTTGCGGTAAGTTTCCCTGGATTCACTGTCTTTCCCTCATGTGGTGTTGTTTGTTGTTAGGTTGGCCCACCTCCTGGGCTACTCTGAACACGAGGTTTACTGTGAGCTGGTGAAACTACAGCAGACTATTTCACTCTCAATGTTAGCAGCTGTGCTTATTGGTGTGTCTTTTATCTGGTGTTTTATAATGTTCCAGACTGCAGGAGTGCCCAGCAGATCTGACGCTGCCACTGTTGTACTCGGCACTCATTGGCTCAGACTTGTCTTTCTTGACTCCCTCTCTTGTCCAGGACTTCTCCTGTCTTGCAGCACACGTGTCGTCTTCCTGCTCATCCAGTTAGGTTTATAGATACAGCTTTGCCACTTATGAGGATGTAGTTGCAAATGAAATCACTCTCTGCACAGAAAACTTGCAGCAGGCTCTTGTTGTCTTCAAAATGTACAGTCTTCTGCACGATTTGCTGAGTGTGTGTGTGAGTGAAGAAGAGAGGGTCTTGTGGCCATGGTCTGCCAGGCACAGTGAATCAGGACTGCAGCTCGAGATCAACTCATCGTTTCTGCAGCTTACCCTGGCACTCTTGCAGCCACCTTCCCACAGTCAAGGTGAGGAGTGGAGGGTATGGCAGACCTACTGGACTTCAACCTGTCGTTTCAGCAGACCACATCCCAGTGGTAGATCTCCTACAGTCCACTGGTCATCTGAACCTTGCCCAACACATTGAAATGGAGGTATGGAGCCCTCTCCTCCTCAAAACAACGCCATAACTTCCCCCCTGCAGTGCCAGCTAGGCCTGGGGGTGGAGTCCAACCGTGGCTCTCTCCAGTCCTCCATGCTGGAGAAGGTACACTGGTAATAACTGGTGGAGACTCATCCATCTTCCCTGCCGCTCCAGGTGTTGTCCATGAGTAGAGTGGACCACAGCCTTGGGCTGGCTCTCCTCCTTGCAACACCTCCTGACACTGCTCTCCAACTACTGAACACCAAGCAGTCTTCCATCATGTCCAGCTACTCTCGAGTCATAGTCAGTCTCCAAACCCCTGATAGCACCCTGTGTACTACTGTACCTCCACAGGCCTTCTGTGCACTGACCATTCACTACTGCCAGCTAGTGGGTTTACCCCAACAGGTCAAGAGCACTGCAGTGGGTCTTATGACTGCTGCTGTGTGGGGAAAGACCCTCAGAACATACCAGGTGCACCTCCCTCCTCTACCTACACACAGTGGAGACTGACTGGTGCTGTTATACAGGTGAACTTCTGGAATGCCTTCAGAGGAGGGCCCGAGGAGAAGAAACGAGTGCTGTCTCAGATTGTGCATCTGAAGGAAGTCCCTCCAGAGCTGTTGCTGGCCTACTGCAGGTGCTGCTCTCTGCTGCATTTCTTGCCTGATGCATGCAGCCATGATGAGCAGGACCTACGGACTTGATGGAGCTGGAGCCACGCTTACTCGACTGCGCTTAGTCCTGACAGAGTGGGAGACAGATTTCCAGGATGGATTTGCAGCAAACCTGGTCTCGGTTCGAAGACACCCGTTCATCTCCTCACTGCTTACTACTTTCGTCACCACAAAGGTATATACCTAGACAGAAGTGTATAATCTGCTAGCCTGTACACACGCTCTGCCCACAGGTATGTCCCTATGACTACGAGCGGATCCAGTTTGTACTGCAGGAGCTGAGGCTCAGAGGGGCCAGTCAGCCTCAACATGACAAGGTGTGACTGAGGCCAGAGTGTGCAGCCAGTGTCAGTTGTGTTCTGTAGATGCAACTCATATTGTCTCTCCTGGTGGACTATGAGAAGAGACAGCCACCTGCAGAGGAGGAGAGGAGCTGGCATGCTGCCCAGTGTCACGGGGTGTGCAAGGCTGGCAAGGTTGGTCTTCTCTCCCCTGTGGCCTCTTTCTCCATGTTCGTCTTCCACAGGGCTTCTCTCCTCAGAGGTTACCACTCCACATCTTCCTGGACCCCATTCTGGGCCTCAAACACATCTGTGAGCAGAGCCTTACCAAGTAGCACATGTTGATTGCCTCCCGCTGTGCAGGTCGTGAGGTCTGCGGTCTGTCCTCTGTGGAAAGATGTCTTGCCATTGCCAAGCTCATTGATGTAATATGGCTGCAAGTTTCACTCAATTGATTTCTTCTAATTTCTCTGCAGGTTCCTTTAGAGAAGTTGTACCACACATTTCTAAAGTCACTTAACACTAGCAAAATAAGCTTCGATGAACTCGCCCCTTTTCTAGCCTCTGTCCCCCATGTTGCAACACGAGTTGACCTTACCGCGGAGCTGGCGTCTCGTCTCCCTGGTAACACTCTTCAGTTGTCCAATGACCATGCTACGTACATTAGTTTGTCTTCAGGCAGGGAGCAGGTCTTGGCATTGGAGACCGTGGTGGAGCTGGCCAAGGACTCGGAGAACCCTACCCATCACCTCTCCTCTCTGGAACACCAACTGAGAGGGGCAAGAACAGCTGTCCTCCTGGAAGAGGCGGGGTTGGACAGACATGTTGCCTCTGCTGATTCTTGTGTCATCTCCACACTCTACACTGAGCTACCAATGCTGCAGCAGGACAGACCTTGTATGTACTGACTATTGGTGGTTGGCTTGCTTTTCATTCCACTCACCTGCAGCTCCAACAGCAGTGCACCAGATTGCTCACAAGATAGCAGACGTTCATAATATCAACATTCTTGCCTTCACCTCACAGCTCCTACAGGTGTTCAATTTTCTGAGAAAACGCATCCATAATTTTGTGTTTGGTGGCCTCCTGTACCATTTATGCACATCTGCAGGACTGGCTGTTCCCATCCACAGTTGGTCGTCAAGATCTGAACACCACTCTCGTTAGTGGTGCCTGTTCTAAAGAAACTGTCTCAGACACACATTTCAGGTGACGGAGATGAAGGAGGCAAGAGACACAAAGGACAGTAGGTCACCGGACAACTGGAGAAGGTATGACTGCCCGTCTCTCTCTCTCTGTGTTGAAAATGACTCATTTTTCTGCCACAGGATGATTTACTTGTTGACAGACAACCCACATATGGACCATCTTGCTGGCGTTCTCTGCAACTGGGCTAAAGTGAGTGGGTATGCACTGTTTCCTCCAGGACTGCTCTGGTCACTCACCCCAGACCAACTCCCCAATGGTGGGGCTATCGACTAGACAGTGTGCCTTGCAGCTGCTGCTCACAGCTGTTCCCCAGTCTGTGGTGGAGAGAGTCAGTGGAGGAAGCATTTCTCACCTCAGGTATAATGGAAAGCAGTGCACTCTACAAATGTCGGCGCATGTGTGCCGATGGATAATGAAAGTGTGGCGCTGAATCTGTTAGCTTGGCAAGAAAATACACAAACAAAGTACTGTAACCCTTGCTGCACATGCACATCGAGGGTTAATTACACACCTCTTCTCCACTCTTGATTTACGTGACTACAGGGACAAGATGCAAGAGGCAGTGTTTGTGGCAGAGCTAGGCTCAGTACAGGTTGTCCTGAAGCCCGACGTGTTCCACTCCTGCAACAAGAAGTCAGTAGTGTTCAGCCTGGTCCAAAACAGAGCCGACAGTCCCAAGGTTGCCGTGTGTGCTGTTGTCATTGTCAATCACTCATTTCAATGTGCAGGCGCTGCGCCTGGCAGCTGACATGAGTGTACACTACCGACTCCTGGACCCTGACCTGTGGACCAAACTACTAGCTGCACTGCTTGCGCTGAAAATGGTGTGCTCTCTTTTACTGAGACACGAGTTGTGTAGCCTTATTTCTACAGACTGAATTCCTTCATGTTTTGCTGCCTAAGCTGGTTGGGTTAGGAGCTCACTACTCAGTAAGAACCTTCTCTCTATATACCAGGCAGTAATTCAACCTGCTTCCTTAATGCACCGATAGGTTCCAACCTTGAGTTCTGTGTGGCAAAGAGCGGTGCAGGCCAGCTATGAGACAGGTGAGCTGTGTGGTTCTGAGTGATATATTCTTCATAATAATCCCCTCACAGGAATTGGGCATGATTGTCTTCCCGCACTCCACCTTCTTTACCAGTTAGTTCCCAATGACAGTAGTATTGTAGTATTGGGTTTGTAATATTATATAGTATAATATATAGTTTCCACAGATTATGTGCTCTGTGTGTGTGTGTTGTGTGCGTGTGTGTGCTGTGCAGGTGCCCTGTGCTGTTTCAGCTGGACCTGCCTGCCATTATCCAGACCATGACTGCAGCTGGAGCCCACAGCCATGCCCTCTCAGCCTGTCTCCTGCTCCCAACATCACAAAGGTCCTCAACCATTGAGGTGTGATGGTAGAGCAAAATTGATGCCACCCAACTCCATATTGTACAACCTGTTTTGCGTGATGTTCGGGCATGCAAATTGTCTTTTGTGGCAGCTAGATACATAGGTTCACTTTGCTCGGTAACTTTCCTAACAGATGCTGCTGAGTGGGTTTCCAGCTGAGAAGCTGCCACAACTGCTGGAGGAGGTCACATCTTCGTCCTGCTCCGAGCTGTTTCTGGTGTGAAGAATGTTCTGTCTGCCACTGGACCCTCTTCTCCATCCTCCTCTGTTAGGTGGCAGATGAGGTGTACAGCTATGTGGACAAGAATGGACTCTACGAGTATCTTCTCGGCACCTCCTTCTTTACCAACCTGGTCCAGTTCCTGATAGCTCGCTGCCAGCTCTCCTCGCTTCTGTCAAATGTCCTCTCCAGAGGAAGGTCTGCCAGTGGTAGTCTCTCTGTGATATGTGACTGATTGTGGCAGCACAGGGTGTGGGAGGCAGCTCAGCTTGTGGAGATGTACCATGATCAGCATCAGGTCTCAGCCCCTGCTGGAGTAGAAGGTCTCAAGGCAAGCTGTCGACACTGCTGACCATTAAATTTACTCCATCTTTCTTGCAGGCATATCTGAAGTGTGAAGGTCTAGAGATTGAACTTTGCACAAATAAGTCTCTTTCATGATCGTTGTGCAAACTGCAGCCCAACCCCCTTGCTACGACGCGCATGCTGCATGCGTATAAGCTGTCACGACATTGCGAGGCCAGCGGAAGACGGACGTAGCTAGTCTGTGATCGTGAGGTTAGGGCTAAATCGCTCAGTTGCGGAGGAGATGAGTTCAGTGAGGGTAGCTGTGCGAGCCAGGCCCTTCTCAGAGCGGTAAGACGTATACTTGTGTTGAAATCTGGCTAACTGTGGCACCTCTGTGAAAGAATATTTGTCTGGCTTTGCGAACGTTCCTCCACAATGGTTTTGCCCGAGTACCGATCACGATCCATCCGGGCGGCAATCAAAGTAAGGTGCGAATAGCACTGGCCTGAAAAATGCAGGTAGTACAGACTCTGCAGCCTGCTGCGCGAGGGATAGACTTGAAATGTAACAGCCTTATGGGTTGTCCAGATCTCGTGCAACTTCACCACATTTTGTTTTTTTGGGGGGTATATACAGTTACTATTACTCCACTCACTTGTCACTCAATACCTCTGAAGGGAACTGGCTTCCAGCAGCCACTTCTGTCTAGAGATGAAAGGCAAGAAGACAATTCTCTACAACTGCGGAGAGGTGCACACTGGCAGGGGCAGTGCAAAGGAGTTTCATTTCGATCACTCATACTGGTCTGTGGGCAAAGACAACGCTCACTGTGTAGGTCAAGAGCAGGTGTATTCTGACCTTGGAGGTCCAGTGATCAAGGCAGCATTTGCTGGCTATAACAGCTGTGTGTTTGCCTATGGTCAGACAGGTTCTGGCAAGACCTACACCATGACAGGCTCTGCCACAGAACCTGGACTGATACCTCGCATCTGCAAGGTAAATGGCTCACCATTCACCGGAATACATTCCATGACTGCTGAATACAGGAGCTTTTTAGTCAAATTGAGGGGAGTGGCTCAGGAGGAGACTCTGCCGTGTCCTATAGGACAGAACTGAGGTCAGCACCCCTCTTTAGTCAGGAAAGTGGTATATATACCTTTCCTACAAATAGCTACCTAGAGATCTACAATGAGAAGGTGAGGGATCTACTGGCTGGGGGTAAGGCAGGACCGGCACTACGAATTAGAGAGCACCCGAGGGAGGGACCATATGTTGAGGGTCTGAGTCAGCATGCAGTGCACGACTACACAGGAGTAGCATGTCTGCTGACAGCTGGCAACTCCCTGAGAGCCACAGCCTCGACCAAGATGAACGACAGCAGCAGTCGCTCCCATGCAATCTTCACTCTGACCATGACACAGGTCAGTGACTGCCCTCTGCTGGCTGCCTCTCATCCTAATCTCTGGCGTCAGGCTGTGCTGGAGTGTGGAGTACCCAGTGAAACAAGGTCCAAACTGCATCTAGTGGATCTAGCTGGCAGGTATGACACACTTCAGTTTATGTAGTACTCCACTATGAGGTGACCTCTCCATACAAAGACACTCACCTGTCACTTTGTTCTTTTCAGTGAGCGAGCAAGTGCCACAGGGGCAGAGGGAGTGAGGCTCAAAGAAGGCAGCTCCATTAACAAGTCTCTTGTCTGCCTTGGAACAGTCATTTCTGCACTAGCAGACAAGGCTGCTCACCATGGCAAGAAGACCCTATACGTCCCATACCGAGACTCTGTTCTGACATATCTCCTGAAAGACAGTCTGGGAGGAAACGCCAAGACAATCATGATAGCAAGTATGTAGTGTTATGTAACACACTTCCCCCGACTGAAGACGTGTTATGTTCCCAGCTGTGTCCCCAGCTTACAGCAGCTATGGTGAGACTCTGAGCACACTTAGGTATGCCAGCAGAGCTCGAGCCATCATCAACAAGCCAGTGGTCAACGAGGACTCAAGTGTGAAGGTCATCAGAGAGCTGAAGTCAGAGGTAGAGAGACTGAAGGCCATCATCACCACACAGCACCTGGTGAGTTGGTCTGGAGCTCTGAGCATGAGTGAGACTCTGTGGCTGTAGAGTATGGAGGTGGTAGCAGGAGAGAACATGTCCAAGACAACTGGCTCTCTTGTGGCTGATATCCACAAGAAGGAGGAGAAGGTAAAGAGACACAGTATGTCTACTAGCAATATTCAGGGCACACTGTGTGTGTAGGTTGCTGAGCTGACCAAAGAGTGGGCCAGTAAATGGAAGGACATTCAGCAGATCATGAAGGTAGTTTACTCTGAGCCATTTTGTGTGTATGATCAAAAGGTATTAGTGTGTGTGAACTCAGTCACATGACACACTGACTAACACAGTTTGCACACTACCAATCTGTATACTGTGCTCTAGGCCCATGATTTGGCTTTACACTGTAATGGAGCCAAGCTGGTGGTCCATTCTGACCATCCTCATCTTGTGGGCGTTGACCCTGACATCCTTAGCACTGGCCTCGTCTTCCTCTACCTCAAGGTAGGCCTTCCCCCTCCTCCCTGTCTCCTCGCTTCACTCCCTGACTGCAGGGAGAATGTACTATTATGGGCTCACAGTCCGCCAAACCCCCTCCTGACATTGGTCAGAAATTATTATCAACTCCTCTTCTATATAGTGCCCCCGTGTCTCTACTGCAGCTGTGCCAGGGGCAGACATTGCTGACCTCCACTGTCGACTTGTGGTGCAGAGAGGGAAAGTTGTCCTCCATCCCCTTAATGGAGAGTGTTTCATTAACCGTGTCCTGGTCACCACCCCAGGTCGCCTGCGTCAAGGTGAGTCCCCTCCCCTTCTGCCACATGTGTAAACCCAGCTACTCTGCCTGGCAGGGGATTTGCTCCAGTTAGGAAGCTCAGCTGTGTTCAGATTCAACCACCCACAAGAGGCAAAGAGGCTGCGAAAAAGACATAGTGTGAGGGAGTGTGGTTCTTTGGCAGAGAGCCATCCAGTGAAGTGTTTCACTGTAGGAGGGTTTACTGGGCGCTAACAGACTGGCCCGACACAGGCGAGCTAGGACCAGGAGCACACCTCACACTCTCTCCTCTCCCCCTCCTTCACCAACCACTGCATCTCCTGCTACGAGTGTGGTGGAGCTTCATTCGGAGGCTGTGTTGAGAGCCTGTGACCCCACCAGTCCACCCGCAACTTCCCTCACCTTCTCCCAGTCAGTTCTTTCCTCACCTTCACTGACATAAATATCTGTGCCTCTTCTCCCTACAGAGTGCAGAGGAGCCAGAAGTCTCACCTCGCTCTTCCTCTGTAAGAACTCTCTGTTAGTGCTAGGACCACAGTACAATTTTACGTGTTCTGCCGTTTTCCACGAGATCATAAACTGTGTCTGCTAGGGCACTTCACTTTCCATTCCTTCATTTGCAGTGAGCTGGGCAGGAGTTTTGAGGAATGGAATTCACTCTCTCTTGCAAAGATTGCGATGAGTCCTCTCACCATCTTGAGAACGTTGGTGACTCCTTACTCAGATACACTACCTCAACATCATCACTCTGACGAGAACATGTATGCTGCCTGTAGCCCAGCTTCATTAGGTCTCAGTTGCTATCTCCTGCCGTCAGAGAGCCAGGCAGAGTGTCCTCTCCACCTTCCTGCTGGTGGAGACGGCTCCTCTGTGCCGTCCTGCTACTGTGCAATGCTCCTTGGCTACTGGGTGTGTTTGGAACACTCACTGTGCCTGCCGTCAGCATGCTAGCTATGTTGGTCAGCTCCATCAAGGTATTACTGTGAATGGATACAAGCATTATTGAGTTCACACTCCTATGCTTCAGTTGTGTGCAGTTCTTCAGAAGTGTTGGCTATCTCGTTGGCTGGCAACTGTTCTGGCCCTACTGACTACAGCACTAGTGACACCAGTGGTGGGGCTCTGCAGCATCACCGTTGGAGCTGGCCTTTCTTCCCTGTCTGCCCTCCACCTCATCCCTCCTATACCCCAACAAAGGACTAGAAAACCAGTTTAATTTGTGGTTAA